AATCACACCACAGCACAACGTCTTGTAAAGACGACGCTGAAGATGCTAACACGGAGATGTGTCCTCTGACAACAGTCAAGAGTATTAGCCTCTCAATTTCAGAATTCATGAGTGTCTAGCTTTCTCTATCACCGGACCCCTGGTGCATTTGAGTTAAGAATCGACAAGATGTTTGATTTCATAAAGCTTTTAGTGCAGCGGTTCTCAGCTTTTTGTCGGCGATACTGTGGGGGGGGGGGGGGGTCCGAAGGACCCTTTCATATGGGTCGCCTAAGACCATCGCAAAACACATTTATTGTAGGTACGAAGCAGCAACAAAAATAATTGTGTGGTTGGGGGTCGCCACAATACGAGGAGCTGTATTAAAGGGTCGCGTCATTAGGAGGGTTGGGAACCACTGTTCTAGTGTGTACTCGCTAAACATTCAGAGGAGCACCTTCATATCTCAACCACAATAACGCCATATTCTCCTGTCTTCTTCAAGATATGGCTCTAATATCTTACCCCCGTTCTAATCTCGTTTCACTAGAACCCATTCTCCTTGCTGTATCGCGTCTTGGAAACAGAAGTTAAATGCATTTGACAGGAAATGCTTAAGAAATTTGATGAACATTAAATGAAATAATTTCAAGAAATATTAGGAATGCCTTGATAACCGCTAGTTTCAACAGTGATATACACTACTGTTTCTTAATCTCTCTGCTAGATACCCGACTTATGCCTGTCTCGTTTCTGTTTACTAGATACTCGTCTCTTTACTAGATAATCCCCTTTCTGTTTACTGGATACTCGTCTGTGTGTTTACTATATACTCGTCTGTCTGTTTACTGGATACTCGTCTATTTACTGGATACTCGTCTATTTACTGGATACTCGCCTGTCTGTCTAATGGATACTCGTCTGTCTGTTTACTAGATACTCGTCTGTTTACTGGATATTCGTCTGTTTACTAGATACTCGTCTGTCTGTTAACTGGATAATTGCATGTCTGTTTACTGGATAGTTGTCTGTCTGTTTACTGGATACTCGTCTCTCTGTTTACTGGATACTCGTCTGTCTGTTTACTGGATACTCGTCTGTCTGTTTACTGATACTCGTCTGTCTGTTTACTGGATACTCGTCTGTCTGTATACTGTATATTCGTCTGTTTACTGGATACTCGTCTGTTGTTTACTGGATACTCGTCTGTCTTTTTACTAGATACTCGTTTGTCTGTTTACTAGATACTTGTCTGTCTGTTTACTAGATAGTCTGTCTGTTTACTAGATACTCGTCTGTTTACTGGATACTCGTCTGTTTGTTTACTGGACACTCGTCTGTCTGTTTACTGGATACTCGCCTGTCTGTTTACTGGATACTCGGTTTACTGGATACTGCCTGTCTGTTTACTATATACTGGTCTGTCTGAAGAAGAAGGAGGAGGAGGAGGATGAGGAGATTTAAGGCATCCACTAACCACAAAACCAGCGCACGCAGTCTGTATTTAGAATATAGAACCCTCGTTTAGTTTGTCTACGAGTTTTCTCCTAGTCTACGTGTCTGTTCCTCCATAGAAGGAGACTATGGTCGATAGTCGGCCAAATGAAAGTCGTGTATATATTTGTGTTCTTAGCGGTACGGTAACTCATGTATATATATTTGTGTTCTCTGGGCTGTGCTAGACAAGTACTCGAGTCAAGTGGGCAGCAATTAGAGAAAGTGTTCTCACTTTTGTAGGGGACTGGCTTTCGTCGTCTGACGTTCCTTGTTAATCAGATCTGTCGCCTCGGACAAACATACAATGTCCACTTGTAATTAGATTTCGCCTGTTGGCGCTCCCCGGTCATTTGTGTTTCCCACTTTGGTTTAAGTGACCATCAATCGTTTCGTGTCTGGATTGTCCTGTCCGCCACTTAGTCGTACTCGTCTATACCAATCTTTTTGTCTCTAGTCTGTAAATCTCTAGTCTGTACACCTTTCCCTTATCCCTCCCCCCACCCCGCTTTTCTCCACACACAAAACTTGTGACTATTGTACATACTATATGTTCTATTTATCGTGGCTTAACCTTACATAGCCTTATGTATTTTATACAATAGTATATTGAAAATACCATACTGATACTTATCTTTCTTATTCGTCGTCTTATTCTTCTTTTTCTTCTTCTTTTTCTACTCTCCCTCTTCCTCTTCTTCTTCTTCTTCTTCTTCTTCTTCTTCTTCCTCATCCTCCACCTCCTCCTACTGCTGTATACCTACGATGTATGATATCTATCGTATCGTGTGTGTATCCTACTTAATGTGGCTTTAACCTACCTACCCTAGTGTATATCGACATACCCGCGGTACTGTTACAATGAGCTAATTCCACACCCATACATCGGCCCTTTGTTAGGGGGGGGGGGGGGGTAGCAGTGGCTTTGTAAAAACGTTCCGGTTTTATTGATTAGCTTCTGGGGCAGGTCGTGCATGGGTCGTCTGACATGTTCTCTGATTATGCTTGTATTCATGCCACGGCCACTCGTTATCAGCAGGGGGTTGCCATTCTTCAAATTCCTGGTGGTTTCTCTCTTCCAACGGCCAGCTCTCCCGTAGAATGCCAGGTCTGGTGTTTTGTCCTACAGGGCTATTCAACTGGCGGCCCGCGGGCTAAATCTGGCTCGTCAAGGCCTGGCAAGTGGACCGCGGATCACTGCTATTTATTGCATTTATGGTCTTTCTATGCTGGTGCTGAAGCTTCTGGCCCGAGACGATTCCCATTATTGAACATTTTGGTCCCTGAGTCCACTTAGTTGAATAGTCCTGTTATAATTAAACATGCTGTCGGGTTGTAAAGTATAGATGATCAACTTTACTGCCACAGGTACCAGTGATATTTCTTTCAACAATGACCTTGGTTTCCAGGTCGACCCAGCTTTAAATGATGCCAGATCAATTACTGGGAAGTAAAGGCTGTCGGCGTGCTGTTGATTACATCATCCACCGAGTTCCCGGTTGGTCTGTAAAATACAACTCTAGCACTATGTGTCCAATACTGCTGAAGGCGTGGCAAAAGATCCTTCAGTTTTATCCTTAATGTATAGATCTCTCTCTCCAGAACGGCTGACTCACCTACAGAGTGACGCAAAGCACAAACTCTGAAACTCCAGCGACGATTCTTGGTGCTTTTCGCGCTTGTGCACCGAACGACGCAGGCTATAAAACAGTCAGATTGCAAGTCCAAAAATTTCAATTTCGAGTAGAAAATGCGAAATTTATATACAGAAGAATAGATAGTATTTCATGGATACAAAAAGAGACAAATACAGAGAGATAAGAGACTGGCGTGGAAAGAGAGTTGCTGAAGGGTAGTGAGAAGAGTTATTTGGCAGGATATACAGATTCTTTCAGGATATAGCATCTTCTCCCAGGTTATAGCGTCTTCTCCTAGGTTATAGCGTCTTCTCTCATGTTATAGCGTCTTCTCTTATGATATAGCATCTTCTCCCAGGTTATAGCGTCTTCTCCTAGGTTATAGCGTCTTCTCTCATGTTATAACGTCTTCTCTTATGATATAGCATCTTCTCCCAGGTTATAGCGTCTTCTCCTAGGTTATAGCGTCTTCTCTCATGTTATAGCGTCTTCTCTCATGATATAGCATCTTCTCCCAGGTTATAGCGTCTTCTCCTAGGTTATAGCGTCTTCTCTCATGTTATAGCGTCTTCTCTCATGATATAGCATCTTCTCCCAGGTTATAGCGTCTTCTCTCATGATATAGCATATTCTCCTAGGTTATAGCGTCTTTTCCTAGGTTATGGCGTCTTATCCTAGGTTATGGTGTCTTCTTCCAGGTTATGGCGTCTTCTCCCTGGTTATAGCATCTTCTCCTAGGTTATAGCGTCTTCTCTCATGTTATAGCGTCTTCTCCGAGGTTATAGCGTCTTCTCCCAGGTTATAGCGTCTTCTCCCATGTTATGCCATCTTCTCCCAGGTTATAGCGTCTTCTCCCATGTTATGCCATCTTCTCCCAGGTTACAGCGTCTTCTCCCAGGTTATGATGTCTTCTCTCAGGTTATAGCGTCTTCTCCCAGGTTATATCGTCTTCTCTAGACAGGTGAGTAAACACGAATGAAACAGTCTGTATTTGGGCCGGAAAACGTAATAAGACCCTGTACTTGTAACAATCAGGATATTCAGCCTTAACAGTCATGAAAACACAACAGCACTACCATCTGATGTGAAGAGTGAACGAACGAACGAACGAACTTTATTTTCAAAGGGTTACAAATTAGGCACGCAGGCCTTTCTGATCGAGTGAATAATGATACTATCAAAGTGTGGAAATGACATCTTGTACTAGATTCATCGAAAAACAGCAGATCAAGTGGTTTGGCCATCTCATTAGAATGCAGCTAGATCAAATACCACCACAAGCAATACATCTCAGAAGATCAGCTGCAAGAGCGAGAGGACAGCCGCTGAAAGTATGGATTTACAACATTAAGGAAACAACGCCATCACGGCATGACAATAGCCAGTGTATACTGGATCGCAAATTATTCCTCCCCATGCCACCTAACTGCAGAAGTGGTTTATGATGATAATGAGCATATGCACTGTGCACTTAATGCCTAGGTACAGTGGTGTGGTATATACATTGTTATTGTTATCCAAATACATTGGTATTGTTATCTGTATAATTATCTATACACATTGTTATTGCTATCTATACACATCAGTGTATGATATAATTGTCAGCTAGGCTACCTGTTAGGTTAGTTGCGTATCCTTTAAAGGACGTTGCAGAACCAACCCTAACAGCCCCTGGCTGTTGTGTGGTTTCTCTAGGCAAATTTACCTCCAGTAGTTTGCCATTGCTTTCTGGACGGTCCGCTTTCTTGATACCACTGTCAAAACCAACGCAAGGCGCGTGGCCCGCAGCTGGGATCGAACCCGGCATTCCAAAACTTTCGCATCGACTTAGCCACAGAGCCCACAGGCTACCTGTAGCGGTGTGATTTATTGTGTGTTGTGTATTTTCAGAGATCAACCGGGTCCGCCTGTCACTGTTTCACCATCAAGGCAAACGAGATGTTCTTGATCTGCCCGAGCCTCATGGGCCGGTGGTGCAGCTGCAGGAAAAGCTGTTTGTGCCGGTCAAAGAGTACCCTGATGTGAGTATTTTTATGTGTGCGGGTGAGTGCATAGAGCTGCAGGATATGCCTTTTGTGCCATTCAGAGAATGTCCCAATGTTAGTAGTTATGGATCTTCAGATCTTTTCATGTATAACACCTGCGTTGGTAGTTTTATTGGCTGCCTTTTTACTAAATGACCAAACCATTTCATCTTTTGTTTCTTAGTGAATTTGCTGCATGGTGTTGTTCCTACAGTCTGTCTGATAATATCATTTCTTACTTTGTCTCGGATGTTTAAGCTTTCCTCAGGCATCTTTTGTCAGAGGTGTTAATTTTACGTAGGTTAGCCTTTCATCATGTCCAAGTCTGGCACTGGTAGCACAGTGTTAAAGTCCAAGCCTGGCACTGATAGCACAGTGTTAATGTCCTAGTCTGGCACTGGTAGCAGTGTTAATGTCCAAGTCTGGCACTGATAGCACAGTGTTAATGTCCAAGTCTGGCACTGGTAAAACAGTGTTAAAGTCCAAGCCTGGCACTGATAGCACAGTGTTAATGTCCAAGTCTGACACTGGTAGCAGTGTTAATGTCCAAGTCTGGCACTGGTAGCACAGTGTTAATGTCCAAGTCTGGCACTGGTAGCACAGTGTTGGTATGAATATGCTGTTTATAATCTGTTTTCTCATTAACTGATAAAAACGCACCATAGGATAACTGCATAGAATGTTCATGTTAAGCTCATCATGTCTCACCACACAGCGTTTTTATCGCCAACATTTGGTTCATGCCGTGTTTTTTCAGTTCAATTTCGTGGGAAGAATACTGGGGCCTCGTGGTATGACGGCCAAGGAGCTGGAACAGTTTACCGGCTGTAAGATCATGGTGCGAGGAAAGGGATCAATGCGAGACAAAGCTAAGGTAGGTTGTCCAGCGTGGTCTCAGGTGTAACTTCTAATGGCTTGCATCAGGGGCGTCTGTGTTTTGTCAAACACTTCTCTGGGTGCTTCTCTTCTCCCTCACCCCCTTTTATGCTCTCCGTGCCCCCTCCTCTCTCTCTCTCCTCCCCCCTCCCCATCTCTCTCACACACACACATCTTTATATATAATAATATATAATAAAATAAAATATAATAAAAGTTGATGGTGTTATTTTAGGACAAGTACAGAAATTTAAGTATCTGGGCACATGGATAACATCAGATGGAAGATGCATAACTGAGATAAGAAACAGAATAGGACAGGCAAAAACTGCATTTTATAAAATGAAAAACATCTTGTGCAATTTATCCTTGTCATTGAGAGTTAGAAAAAGAATTCTTGCTTGCTACATACATCCAGTTTTAACATATGGCTGTGAATCCTGGACAATAGGTAGGCAGGCCAAACAATTCCCGGAGGCCTCGGAGATGTGGTTTTACAGAAGAATGCTTAGAATACCTTGGACAGCCAAAAAGAGCAACCAAAAGGTTTTGAAAGAGGCAGGAGCCCGAAGACAACTTATCACAGACATCAGAAGGAGACAGTCATCATTTTTCGGCCATGTTATGAGAAGAGGGAAAATAGAACATGTTGTGACCACTGGAAAGATATGTGGAAGGAGAGATAGAGGTAGACAACGAGAGAAGATCCTTGACAGTCTTGTTGCATGGCATGGAGGTGTGTCAGCACACGAACTGATACATGCTGCAGGAGATCGCAGATTATGGAGAGGCATGATTGCCCACGCCAGTCGGCAAGGCACCTGATGATGATGATGATGATATATATATAAAGTAAAGAACCCTTTTCTGCCTATTCAGGTGTGGTAGGCATATGGGGCTAGACCTGTATTTTATAGACCAATCAAAACTTGGTGGGTGATGTCAGCATCACACTGGTCACCTTTACTTTCTATGACTTTTCCCTGGTACCCACCCAAGGCTGGGTCGACCTAGGAGCCAGGGCCTAAAAAGTTTTTTTTTTAAAGGCCGCTTCCATCAGGACTCGAACTTATGACCCTTCGATACACTAGCGAGCATCTAGCCACTTCACCATGGTGGTCCCATGTATGTATGTATTTATATATCAATTGCTGTCCATATGTCTCTCCGTCTCTTCCCCTTTCTTTCTTTCTTACTTACCCCATAGCTGCCTCTTCCACCTCACTTCCCCTCTTCTCTTCTGTCTTTTCCACTTCTTGGGTCTCCTACTCCCACCCCTCCCCCTTCTCTCTCTCTCTCTCTCTCTCTCTCTCTCTCTCTCTCTCTCTCTCTCTCTCTCTCTCTCTCTCTCTCTCTCTCTCTTTCTCTCTCTCTCTCTCTTTCAATAGACTCTCTTTTTCTGTAAGTTTCTGATCTCTATATTCATGTCTCCCTCTCCATGTTTCAGTTTTCTCTGTTACATATTGTTTTTGTGTGTGTATACGAATTGATTGTTACGCTTGCTAGTCTGGCTTCTTGTTACACCAGCTGAGGCAGCATATAGTTTGTACTATGTTAGGATGAATTGTTGTTACATATTTTATGATAGTTTATTGTTATCACATTTGTTAGAATGAATTATTGTAGTTACATTTTATCTCCACACTAGGCGCCATGCTAATGATCTCCCCACTAAAAGGAGTCAGTGATCTCCCTGATGAGCACAGTATTAAGGATCTCTCCACATTGAGTCCCTTTCTCCAGTGATCTCCCCAAATTATCATTCTCATTATGTGAACTCTTTACTATGCATCTTGATATCGACCATGTACATGCTCACACACACGCACGCACACACACACACTCACACATACACTTATACACTCCCACACACAAATTTTCCCACAAGGTGTCTCCCTTACCCATCTCAGAGTTAAGTCAATCCCTACATAATGACTAGCTCACCCACTCTCCAGACAAGTATTTAAACCTAAATGTCAGTAACTATACCCATGGCTGTCACCAGCCTCTCTTGCCATAACCTGAATGTCAGTAACAATACCCCTGCCTCTCACCAGCCTCTCTTGCCATACCTGAATGTCAGTAACTATACCCCTGGCTCTCACCAGCCTCTCTTGCCATACCTGAATGTCAGTAACAATACCCCTGCCTCTCACCAGCCTCTCTTGCCATACCTGAATGTCAGTAACTATACCCCTGGCTCTCACCAGCCTCTCTTGCCATACCTGAATGTCAGTAACTATACCCCTGGCTCTCACCAGCCTCTCTTACCATACCTGAATGTCAGTAACTATACCCCTGGCTCTCACCAGCCTCTCTTGCCATACCTGAATGTCAGTAACAATACCCCTGCCTCTCACCAGCCTCTCTTGCCATACCTGAATGTCAGTAACTATAACCCTGGCTCTCACCAGCCTCTCTTGCCATACCTGAATGTCAGTAACTATACCCCTGCCTCTCACCAGCCTTTCTTGCCATACCTGAATGTCAGTAACTATACCCCTGGCTCTCACCAGCCTCTCTTGCCAGACCTGAATGTCAGTAACTATACCCCTGGCTCTCACCAGCCTCTCTTGCCATACCTGAATGTCAGTAACTATACCCCTCGCTCTCACCAGCCTCTCTTGCCATACCTGAATGTCAGTAACAATACCCCTGCCTCTCACCAGCCTCTCTTGCCATACCTGAATGTCAGTAACTATACCCCTGGCTCTCACCAGCCTCTCTTGCCATACCCGAATGTCAGTAACTATACCCCTGCCTCTCACCAGCCTTTCTGGCCGTACCTGAATGTCAGTAACTATACCCCTGACTCTCACCAACCTCTCTTGCCATACCTGAATGTCAGTAACTATACCCCTGGCTCTCACCAGCCTCTCTTGCCATACCTGAATGTCAGTAACTATACCCCTGGCTCTCACCAGCCTCTCTTACCATACCTGAATGTCAGTAACTATACCCCTGGCTCTCACCAGCCTCTCTTGCCATACCTGAATGTCAGTAACAATACCCCTGCCTCTCACCAGCCTCTCTTGCCATACCTGAATGTCAGTAACTATACCCCTGGCTCTCACCAGCCTCTCTTGCCAGACCTGAATGTCAGTAACTATACCCCTGGCTCTCACCAGCCTCTCTTGCCAGCCTCTCTTGCCAGCCTCTCTTGCCATACCTGAATGTCAGTAACTATACCCCCGCCTCTCACCAGCCTTTCTTGCCATACCTGAATGTCAGTAACTATACCCCTAGCTCTCACCAGCCTCTCTTGCCAGACCTGCATGTCAGTAACAATACCCCTGCCTCTCACCAGCCTCTCTTGCCATACCTGAATGTCAGTAACTATACCCCTGGCTCTCACCAGCCTCTCTTGCCATAACTGAATGTCAGTAACAATACCCCTGCCTCTCACCAGCCTCTCTTGCCATACCTGAATGTCAGTAACTATACCCCTGGCTCTCACCAGCCTCTCTTGCCAGACCTGCAGTGGATGCATAATTAAAAAAGACAAATGGTTCAGGTTATGAACACCGTGTAGCCGGGTGGTTTCCTACCCGATAACAGATTAGCCGCATCCTCTCATGGGATCTGAATGAATCGATATTTTTTTGGGTGACTTTCCCTTTCTTCTAATAGGCTGTCTGTGATCGGTGAGGGTCCGGGGTGGGTGGTGTGAATGAAGATTTGTGTTGACATTTGACAGTACAGCTGTTTTGTCAGCAGTTAGAACATTGTTGTTGTTGATGATTAAAACATCTTGTGTTCTTGTGTCAGTGTTCAGAAGATCGCTTTTGTCGGCGGTTAGAACAGCTGTGCTATTGTAATTAGTTATTACATTGCTGTTGTTTGTGGTTAGAACATTGCTGTTGTCCTTGGTTAGAACATTGCTGTTGTCTGTGGTTAGAACATTGCTGTTGTCCGTGGTTAGAACATTGCTTTTGTCTGTGGTTAGAACATTGCTGTTGTTCATGTTTAGAACATTGCTGTTGTTCATGTTTAGAACATTGCTGTTGTTCATGTTTAGAACATTGCTTTTATCTGTGGTTAGAACATTGCTTTTGTCTGTGGTTAGAACATTGCTGTTGTTCATGTTTAGAACATTGCTGTTGTTCATGTTTAGAACATTGCTGTTGTTCATGTTTAGAACATTGCTTTTATCTGTGGTTAGAACATTGCTTTTATATGTGGTTAGAACATTGCTGTTGTCTGTGGTTTGTCTGTGGTTAGAACATTTTTTTCCTGCGGTTGATTGTAACTGATATAATAACAATGCTATTGCCAGTGGTTACAACAGCTGTGATGTTGTCAGTGGTTAGGACAGCTGCGCTATTGTCAGCGGTTAGAACACTAATGCTGTTGTCAGCGGTTAGAGATATGTACTATTTTCAATGGTTAGAACGTTAAAACACTTGTGCTGTTATCAGCAGTTAGACATTTGTACTATTTTTAATAGTTAGAACGTTAGAACATTTATGCTGTTATCAGCGGCTAGAACCCTTGTACTTTCATCAAGGGTTAGAATATTGCTATTGTCAGGTGTTAAAACATTGCTATTATCAGGGGTTAAAACATTGCTATTGTCAGGGGTTAGAAGGTTGCTATCGTCAGGGGTTTGAACGTTACTGTTTCACTGGCTACTACAACGGTGCTATTGTCAGTTGCTGTTAAACTTTGGCGGGTCTGAACGCTTTATGTAAATTCAGAGTATCTGGGTCAGTTCCAGCTGCAGGCGATTCGACAGCAGACCTCCTTGTGTTGGTTTCGGCAGGGGAATCGAGAGCCGACGATGTAGAAAGTAATGACAAACTGTTGAACATAAAATTGCCCAGTAAAACCAAAACAGCCAACAGATTTTAGGGTTGGTTTGGTAACATCCTGTAAAGAATATTATGCAACTAACTGACAGTATTACACATTGAAATAAGTATGTCCACCGATTTCTTCCTTATTCCAATTTTAGGTGATTCAATAATATCCCACTACAAACGGAAAATCCACAGGTCA